CGGCCTTGTGCCACATCTAAGCTATGCTTGGAAAATAACTATTAGTCGTTCAACTCTGAACCGACTGCACGGTTAAACTCTCTTCCTACGGGCGGGAGGAACCCGAAGGAGGCTACGCCGAAGGGCGGAGTCTCCTTCGGGGAGGTAAAACCGGCCCAGAACCCGTTTATACGGGTTCAAATGGGCTATTTTTTGGCCGAGCCTAATGGCTCGGGAATGCCCACATTAAAAAGGCCTTGTGCCACATGACACCCTCGTGGGGTGGGGGTGACTGAATATCGTCACGATGGACAGGTTTTCCCTCGGATAAGTCAAATCAACCCAGATCTCGTGGAACTCGAACATACAATTCATCACTAAAGATGCTGGGAAAATGGTCTGTTCCTTGTACCGCTCCAGTAAGTACCTGACTCCTCCTGCTATCCTCTACGTTTACACGAGCCGAAAATGGGTTATTGCGGCCATGCATGGGCAGGGGCTGCCCAGTCTTCTCTTTCCCGTCTCGATAGAATTCAATAGCGGCTCCATGTCCTTGTGAGCGACAAATTATTTTCCAGCCTGCAATCCCTTTCTTACAGAGGAAACGTCGCAAGTCTCTCACTGCCCTATCGCTATTTCCATGGAAAGTGCTCAGACGAACTGCATTCCTTAACCCCACCAATTCTAACGTCTACAGATAAAACCTGCCATGCTATGTACATTGTAGCGAGCAAGCCTCATTCCTTTCCTGTTGCATTGGTGAAATGTAACTTGCATTTGAACAGCTTCTATCCACGAACTGTTACTGCGCAACCTACTCCCAAGAGGATGCTTCCTCGATTTCTATAACCTTAACCTATTCAAATCTAGGGCCAACTGTTATCTCTTCGAAATATCCCCATAAACTATGACTATTACTCTCTCAACCTCTACCTTGAGTGACTCTTGGGTCTTGTACAGTGTGTACATCATTATAAAAAAAACGGAAAATGTGTTCAGTATATTTACTTCCGTTTCTTTTCTGCTTGCATCTATTTTATGGACCGATTTGTTTTTCTTTTTACTAAATTTTCACCTAATACAAGAGACAGTCAAGGTAGCAGATTACTGAATGAGGTTGCTGTATGTGCATAAGAGGAGGAAATATGTGCAAATTATGAAGATTTTTAAGATATATAACGGTTGATTCTAGATTTGAACATATTAAGATTGTAGTGTATCGGGAAGCATCCTCACGGGAGTCTGTTCCACAAAATAACGGTTCTCGGGAAGAAGCAGTCTGAGTGGAAATTTCTTCTTATTAGTGGAATACGAAGGGACTGAATTCGAATGTGTATACGTGGCATGGTTATGTTTCAACTGCTCATGGTAATATTAGCAATCTCCCTACAGAGAAACATTTGGTATTCATTGACCGAGTACTGATTTTGGTTCGAAATTTATAAAATTTTTCTCTGAAAACAATTTCTTAGGAAAACAGGTTTCTCATGTCCAGTCACTGTTATTGTTCTTTCTAATATGGACGGGTGTTTCCTTCCTAACCTTTTGTTTGAAGTAGTGTGGAAAGTCAACATCTTGATTATGTCATTATTTTCTTTTCGGATTACATGTGATATCAATTTTAACTGTGGTTGCTGTGGAAAGTCCTCAAGTGATGTGATTTCTCTTATTCGGTACATTACTTTGGTTGTGATCCTGTAGCGCCAGTCGACAAGGATCGAAAATGGAAGTTACTCGTTAAGACCTACATATCGAGACTTTCATATCAGAAATACCTAAACTGACAGCTGTATTCAAACGCTTCTTGAGATCAATGTCTTAAAATGGCTTTGAGCGAATAAAAAGCATCGAAGGCGAAATCAGAACAACCTCCTCCCGTCAATTGAGAGGTTTGGTTGCAAATGGCAAAGAGCTCACCAAGTAAAAAGAAAGACACCCAGTGAAGGCCGGAGAGTACAACGGCCTTAACACTGTGACCATAACAATCAAGATGCATAATCTGGTCCGAATAGAAAAGGAATGTTAAGGAGATGTTGATGAGAAAATTATACGCGGCCTTGTAGGCAAAGGATTATTTCCCACCCTACAGTTCTTTTTTTTTCCCCACAGGCGAAACGTGGCGTGTCTACAGCTAATATATTCCTATTTACATGGGAAATGTCGAGAAGAGCTACATTCCGTAGTTCCACCAGGCTGTAACCAGAACTGGTTTCGCACAACGTCGCAAATTGCTATCAATTTCAAAAAATTAACCTGAAAACTCGAGTCGATGAGCTCTTTGCATTTGGCAAGCAAATATTTCAAATGACGGGAGGAGTGTGTACTGATTTCGCCTGCAATGCTTAATCGAATACTGTAATCTAAACATAATCTTCATACTGTATTGATGTTTCTTTTGTCATGACTAATGAAAACACATCGTATATTTTATTTTTAAACGGGACCTAATCATACTTATTATAAAATTCAGGTTGTGTGTATGTGTGTCTGTTCGTTTATATATTGGATCGGATTTCCTACATTTTTCAACCGATTTCAACAAAACTTCACAGGACTATGTAAAATTACCTTTCGGTGGTTCTGACAACGCCAAAAAATTGGAAAAACACAATTGTTTTTGCACGAAATAAGTTTGAAAACACGATTAAGAGACATCACTGTCGCCAGAATGAAAGGGGGGACAACTCATATCGAGTTATACTTATTATAAAACCCAGGTTGTTTGTGTTCGTTTATATATGGGATCGGATTTTCTACATTTTTCCACCGATTTCAACAAAACTTCACTTTTTTTTTGGCAGGTAATGTTTCTTATTGTCTTGCACACTTTTTTCTTTATTTCTACATTCAGCATGCTTTAAAAATTCCATTTACAAGACAATTGTTTGTAATAAAATTCCATTCAATCGGTAGATTCATGACGATTGAAAACAATGTTTTTGTTTGAGTTTGAGTTTGACCAATTCGTAAAAAAAAAAAAAATTAAGACATGCGTGTCCGTCAACCTTAAACAATAATCTTTGTCAATTTTATTTTTCAGTCTTTATGATGGTCGATACTTGATCTAGCTCATTGTTTCATCCCCGGGCTCTTTCTGCTAGTAGATAATACTTAACCGTACATTTCATTCAACTCTGTATTTCGTCAGCTATTGTAGACCAATTCGTGAGAGTCACCTGAGAGAGTGATATTGTCTCTTACTACTGGGTTGGGTTTTTACATATCTACTAAATTAAAAGCCTCCCTATTAAGCTAGTTTAGCGGAGGTCTCTTGATTGTGCCATCCTCACAATAGGTAGGGAGGAGTAGATGCGAGAGGAAATGATAAACTAACAAAAGGACTCAAATCTGATTGCTGCATTTAAGTATTGCATTAATATTTAAACTTATCTTTTAAAAGCTCAACGATAATTCTTCTGAGTCTGTCTATATTTCTGAGATAGGTATTATGTACATTATTTACATTATTCGGACTATTGTCCTCATCTTTGTCGCCAAGGACACATGGCACAGTGGATAAAGGCGTTGGTTAGATCCAGTGACAGGACCCAAAGAATGTGAGTTCAATACCTGGTTTAGGCAATGGAGAACTTTCAGAGGGAAATTAGCAGGAGATAACCGATAACTGACATCCATCAAACATGGCACGTGGAACTAGAACAGTCTACCCCAGTGAACGAAATAAAGGGTTCAGTTCGAAATTCCAACCACCTGAAGTGATAAATATGGCGACAAAGATGAGGACAATAGTCCTAATAATGTAAATAATGATAATTCATCTGCCGCCACTTAATTTAAAAACAATTTGATGTACTTAATTTCCGTAAATATAATTATTTTTATTTCATGGGTGACTTTCGCTAGATTTCTCAAATAATTTCGATTATTCCCAAGTTTATTTCCAACTTACTAAAAATTGTTATCGTACAAAAAAATTCGTCGCAAAAAATCACGTGGAAAAATCACTGAAAACAATCACAGTAATGAAAACTTGGGAATCGGATATTACAAGTTTGCGGGTCAGAATCTGGCCCAGAATGTTTTTAATTTGATCACTGAGTCTGAGAGTACAGTTGAAGAAGTGTGACACACTGACATTCGCAATTATTATACGGAAGAAGAAGATGAGCTATTGACAGCGAGTTGTGTCCCTTTCCTTGAAAAAATATAACACAGTGACACACTGACATTTGCATTTCTTATACAGATGCCCATCATACGGTTAATTCCCACCCTTGCCAACCCAGGCACAGCTGTACTCTTCACGTGAACCTGTACTCGACGGCTGATAGATCACCACTGAGAGATATTCATTCACAAGTAATGTGTTTTGGCCAAGAAGAACTGGTGGAACCCATTCCAATCCAAGTGACAATAGCAAATACAATTGGGAAAAATATTATTAATTTATTGAGAACTGTTCCATACAGTTGGGAAGTTCAGCTAGACAAGAAACATTCCATCCATTTGGGAACTGCAGAAAATGGTTTATTGAGTTCCTATGGTAGAGCAATATTTTCATAATTTGGTAGTGAATTTTGAACAATTTCCTCACAGATGAAAAAAACAAGGCGAGATGTGGCTCTAAAGAAATTTTGACAGAACCTGTTTATAACAAGGAAAATAAAATTAAATAAAAAATAGAAGGAAACTGAAAGAAACAATTTCAAGAGAAAATAATTAGGAGAGAGAGAGAGAGAGAATATAAAACTCACAAGAGATGGGTATTAACATTAATCTATAAATTAGGATTTTTATAGGCATATAATGAATCGTGAATGTCATTTTTTAATTTATAGAATTAATAGCAGATTTTTAGAGGTGCATTAACAGTTTAAGAAAAACAAAAATGGATACGACATTGTACTGTAAGAAAAAAAGAAAAGTTGGTCTAACTTCCTTAATTCCACCTTTTTTCTGTTTTTATTTTTCTTTCTTATTTTTCCTATTATTCATGATCATTTTTATTGCTTTATTGCGTTTTTTTTTTCTTTCTTTGTTTTCGGGTTCATCTCTTCCAGGTTTTCATTTATCTATCTATCTATCTATCTATCTATCTATCTATCTATTACTGTATGCTTTATCTATCTATCTATCTATCTATCTATCTATCTATCTATCTATCTATCTATTACCGTATGCATTATCTATCTATCTACCTATGTATCTCAGCTTCTTCCTATCTATCCATCTATCTAACATTATTCATCTAGCTTTCTCTGTCTACCTGTCTCTTTCTTTCTCTCTCTATCTCCATATATATATATATATATATATATATATATATATATATATATATATATATATATATATATATATATATCACATCTTTCATCTATCTATCTATCTATCTATCTATCTATCTATCTATTACCGTATGCATTATGTATCTATCTTCCTATGTATCTCAGCTTCTTCACATATCTATCTATCTATCTATCTATCTATCTATCTATCTATCTAACATTATTCATCTAGCTTTCTCTGTCTACTTGTCTCTGTCTCTCTCTTTTCTCTCTCTCTCTCTCTCTCTCTATATATATATATATATATATATATATATCACATTCTTCTATCTATCTATCTATCTATCTATCTATATATATATATATATATATATATATATATATATATATATATATATATATATTCTCATATAAAATCTTTAGTTTATTTGATGCTTTTATTCACTTTTCCTCCCTTATATTCAAACATCGACTCCCACATTTATCCCTCAGCAACTCTTCTGCGCAATCGCACTCATGCACTTGCTTGCCAACACTTATAGCGGCAAAGATGTCCATAACTTTTAATTTCAATAAGGCCCTCCGGATTCTGATGTTTCTTAATATCACCAGACTTGACCTCTCTCAATCTTCAGCAGCCATCACATTTCCCTTTCTTTGCCTTCCTTTTCTCTCCCTCGAGCTAAAATATTTCTACTTCCTCTTCAATCATTTATGCTATTCCCCGCTCCCTCTTGCTCCCTCTCTCTCTTTCTTCCGTCTCAGAGTCTTCCTCTCGCTCAGCCTGTACGCCGAAATTTTACCATCTCTATTTTCTTTAGATATTAACCTTTCTGAGTTTATTTCCGCCATTGTTTTCTTCGTCTTCCACTACTGCCTTAAACAATAAGGGCACTTGAAGTAAAAACCAACTTTTATAGCCTGAGTCTTGTCTTTCCTTTCATGTTTAATATGGGAAAAGTGTTGATTTAATTGATCGTGCCTTTTCGTAAATGGTGTTACCGCCCACACAAACAGATTAATAGCCAAAAGAGAACGCGAAAGGCGGCAAAAAGATATGAGAAAGTAGATTTTATGCAAAGGAAAAAAAAAAAAGCTTAATATTATGGTTACGAAAAAAAAAAAAAGAAAAAAATTCCTCTTCAAAAAATGATTGAACAGAAAGCTCCCTGCCCACATACTTTCAAGCGTGTGTCTGCTGTCATTAGAAGGAAAAGATACAAAGTCGAATGAGATAGGGGTCTGTTGTAGGTCAGCGTCAATTTTGTAGGTAGTCACGTCGGAATATATAATTTTATTTCAAGTGCTACGTTTTTTTATTTGTTTTTACGTTGATCGATAAGTTGAAAAACGTCTTCATTCAAACTAAAGGCGGGAAAAAGCAGAGTTCAGCTAGACAAGAAACAATGACAGTCTGACTCTAATAGGTTTTGGGGCCCCGAGATATGAGTTGGTCTTGTACACTAATTTAATGGATCAGACATAGTACTTACCCCTCAGGAAAAATAAATAAATCAACACACACACGGAGATACAAGGACTGAACACACACACACGCACACACACATTCACAAATAAATGAAGTTACATAAATGTACGCTTCAAAATTTATTATAGTGAATAGTTCGTATATGAAATAGACGCCCCATTTTTATTTATCAGAGTGAGAATTGCGGCAATCGGCCTGTGCATCCGAGAAATCTTCACGGTTCACGGATTGAATATATTTAAGAAATAAAATGTTAAAGCGTGTACAGGGTACCTACTAAAAATAAAGTTTTATGTCATTTTATATATATATATATATATATATATATATATATATATATATATATATATTTGTGTGTATGTGCATAAAGTGCTATAAAAGTATATATATATATATATATATATATATATATATATATATTTGTGTGTGAGTGCATAAAGTGGTATAAAATATATATATATTTTTGTGTGTGCGCATAAAGTGGTATAAAAGTATATATATATGTGTGTGTGTGTGTGTGTGTGTGTATGTATGTATTTATGTATAATTATGCATCACATCTTCATTCGAGCATTTTCCATTGAATAATACAGATATATAGGGTCTACTTATTTTATACTGATCCTTCCTTATATGTCTAACCAGTTTCTTGATAATAAGTCATCAAGGAAGGCGCCATAGTTTTTTTTCTTTTAACCGAAGTACTTTATATATATATATTTAAGTTATGAAAAACTTGGTAATCCTTATGGGTAATCCCAAAGAGGATGAAATCCTGAGAGCTCAATGTAAATCCAGAGCTAATATTTTTGGGAAGTGCTATCTGATGATCTGGCGTCCTTTAAAAGGGTTCTGATGAAATAAATTATTATAATGGTACCTTAAAGTGGTCTGTTTTTCTTTTTATATATATATATATATATATATATATATATATATATATACTATAATAATATCTTTATTGGAAAAAGTAAATTACATTGTTACATAAAAAATTCTATCTTTCGGAACTGAAAATTGGTCCCTCATCAGGCGTGGTAGGTAGATGATGAAAATGATTTAGTTATGAAAACAAATTCAATACCGTAGCTTATTTTAAAGTTAAAATTGAGGGGGAACATGATTTCAAGATTTTGTGTTTATGTTGAGTTTAAAGAAGTTTTACTTTAAAGTATATTTCATAGAACTTTTCAAAATAAATCTATGTATTACAATTATATTTCCATTATTTTATTAATATATAATGGAACATATATTTATTTAGTCTTTTTTTAACTTCAATATTGCCATGTTTTAATGTCAATTCAGCATAATAATGTATGTTAGGTTTAAAATAATATATATAAATAGATTTAATCATACCAGAGGCCTCTTTAAGATAGTTTTTAAGTATATACATTTTTTTTAAATTAACCTTTTGTTAAATATATCTATCTGACAACGCCATTGAATCTTAAATTTACTTTCATAACCGGATGTTAGCTAATGGTGACGCGTTTTGAAAATCTCAATTCATTTAGATATGAATGAATAACACACCTACCCCTGACCTTCAACCAATATTTCTCACTTTTCTGCTTTAAGCGTGACACGGCTTTGATTGGTTAACGTAGACATACCCACAAAATTTTGTAATCTTGTTTTCTCCTCCTTTTTAATTCTTAAATAAGCTACCGTGTTGTTTTCTGTTTTCAAAAGTAAATCATTTGCATCATTATTTACGTAACATCGCCTGATGAGGGAAGAATTTTAAGTTCCGAAACATAGAAATTTTTATGTAGTGATGTAATATATATTTTAAATAAAAATATTATTATATTATTTTGTTCGAGTACTTTATGTATCGAGCACCGTTTAAAAAAAGTAAATGCTAATTAACTGTGGATTCTAAATCTGTCTGTTCTTTTCTCTTTTATATATATATATATATATATATATATATATATATATATATATATATATATATGAAGAAATATAGTCTTAAGATGTGTTTATATTTATGGGATAAAGTTCTCAATATCAGAGATAGAGCTTGTGTAAATATAAAAGTGAACATCGAAGTCAACACTTTAGTGTTGACAGTCTGTTTCATGCTAGGTGCAATTGCACCTAGCATGAAACAGACTGTCGCCTCTAAGTGTTGACTTTATGTTCACTTATATATATATATATATATATATATATATATATATATATATAATATCTGGGAGGATATAGATCCAAGGAGAGCTCTATGTCAAAAGATAGAGCAAAATTATTATTAATTAAAGAATATCAAACACGTTAAATCCTATAGGTAATTTTATTTATTTTATGAGAGCTCTAAAACCAGAAGCTCTCAATCTTCAAGACCTACAAACAAATCATAAATGAAATTGCAAAAAAGAATATTCCCGTTTAAAAACAAAAGATATTGCTATCTTATTTAGAGAGTGGGAAAAAGCAGAGAGTGTTGACCTATTTTGCCATACTGACCACTAGTATTTTTAGACGTAGAGCCCGCAAGAAGCTTATACAGTAATTAACTTAAGAATGATTATCCATCAAAAAATTAAAATAAAGAAACTTTGGAATTTTCACAGGTACTACTAATACTACTACTACTACTGATTATTATTATTATTATTATTTTATTTCCTTTGATTTCTGGTGTGTACACATTTCTTTCCGTGTCCTGCCAAGAGACATAAGGTCAAAAATGGCCTCATGAAATTTTTCGCTGAGCAATTAAACACACACACACACATGTTTTACATAGATAATTCTCTTTGTATAGTGTGGACAGTACTCGTGAGAACATTTTTTTTATATTTCTTCAATGCATTATTGATTATCTCATGTGTCAGTTTTGTGAGATTTCTATTTCTAGGTCCTTGTATTTTTATTGGTTTTGAAGATCTTCAAAGATACAAAGTCTGTAGGGGCTGCCATATCAATAAGGAGGCATTGTTTGCGGTCACTAATAACGATGTCTGGATGATTAGCTTTGATTGTTGTTTTTGTTATTATTATTATTATTATTATTATTATTCGGCCTTCTCTACTTAAATGTTCAGTCTGCACCGAAATGTATTGTTGAATTGACCCATTTTGAGTTTAGCATCAAGTAAAAAGAAATTATGCAAAATTTAATGATGCTTTCGTCTTTTTCAATTCACTGTTTGATTTCCAAGTATTTCACTTTTCCAATGATTTTTTTTTGTGCCCTAATAATTAATCTTTAATCACATATTTGTTATTTTCTTTTCAGTTCTGTAGCCAACTCCAGACAAATATCGAATTTGTTTCTCCATTTCAATTTCACTATATTCGGCTGAGACGCTTGACATATCTTTTCTTTGTTTAAGATGATTATATAGAGATCGTTTTTTTTCTGATTAGTATCATTCTAACTATGTGACTAAGGGTCTGAGAAATGTTTCCTTCCTTCCAGACATTGCCTTCTTTTCAGAAGCTATGAAATATTGTGCAAATAACAAGTCATCGTGACCGAGTGTTCGTACGGGCTTTTGTCAAACTGTTGATCATGGGAGACGATGTGGTCTCTCACATTATTTGAACACAGATCCGCTCAGTATAGTCTCAGCATAAACCCCAGATGGGCCCCGTGGGTGTTGAACAAACAGAAATGTTTCTGAACAGTTGCCTGCAACGGTGATCGGTTAGACGCTCTTATAGACGGGTGGGCTCGGCAACGGGGAGCGGGTTATTATTATTATTATTATAGTT